CCCTACAGAAGTCTTAGAAGATGTAGTTGATATGATGAAGAAATTACCAAGGAAGAAAGAGGAGGAACTTGAGCAAGTTTTGAAGACTGAAAGCTTTCAAATTCGAAACGGTTCCTATGGCCAATTATAGTCAAATGGAAGGGCAGACCATACCTTGATAGCACGTAGATTTCTGAGCCAGATTTCAAAAGAGTGGATCCAGACTTATATCGCATATATACTGAAGCCAACTCGCCGGAATCGAGTTCCTTTCAACTCGGGGGAATGATGCAGCTATGCCCCTTCGTGAAGGGGCCAAAGAAGGATCGCAGACCTAAGAGTGAAAGAAAGGTATGATGTAATAAGAAGAAATTATTAGGGTTATTTATTAGGATTATTTTAATTTTTTTTTGTTTAAGGAGTGTACACGGATAAGTAGCAGGCAAGATGTTATATTGTGTTTATCTCGTATCGAATGGGTTAGTTTGAAAGATATAATTAGGATGAGGGTAAATTTAGAAGAGAGTTTATCTTTATCAATAATAATCAACTTGGGAGGTTTTTTTTTATAGAGATAGAAATTCGGGATAGGTGTAGAGAGAAGCTTTTTTATTGGTTTAGGGTGAATTCTTTTGCAGACCTTTGAGAGAGGGTATTTTTCTCTCAACCTTTTTTTTTTTTATTGTCAATTTTTTTGTTTTATTCTCTCATTGCATCAGCAAGCCCAATAAAAGATATGGTGAGGGTTGGGGCTTTTTTGTACCTTTGTTTATGAAGAATTTATGGGTAATAAACATTCATTGGCATGTAAAAATTGAGTTTCAATGAAAATCTTGTGCTTTTTTTATGGGCCAGTGCGTGTCTTTTTGGCAGACACTCTCTATCTCAAGTGGAAGAGTGAGGAAAAAAATGATGGAAAAGCAAAAAATTAACCAAAAAAAAATTTGATTTTCAGAATTTTTTTGTTTTGATTCTAAAAAATTTGTTAGGGCTTTTGTATATCAATGTTATAGGAATATTGTAGGCAAATTTGAACTAGTATATGAGATTTAAAATCTACATATCTTTGAATAAGGGTTTTTATCCCATATGATATTTATTTGATAAAGCGATCTAAAATGATCAAATGAACAAAATTTAAAAAAAAAAAAAAAAATAGAGATTTGAAGGAGATATTGATGGAAAGACGTATTGGAGGTTTGAACATAAAATCTTTCACTAAAAATGGTTTTGATCCCAAATTTTTGTTCATGTAATAGAAAACGGGCTAGGAGAAGATCAATGAATGGTGAAACCCGTATTTTACATTCAAGTGACTAATGAGAAAATATAAGCGTCTAAGTATCTGAATTCATTGTAAATTGGTAACCACTTAAAAGGAAAACTTCAAGTTTATTTATTGATGACTATCTTTTCTTTTAAAGAAAGTAGTTTCACATTATTGAAACATTCCCATGCATGAAAAAATTCAAGTTTATTTATTGGTGACTATCTTTTCTTTTAAAGAAAGTACTCTCACATTATTGAAACATTCCCATGCATGCACATACATATCTTTTCACATTATTGAAACATTGCCATGCATACACATATATATCTTTTCACATTATTGAAACATTCCCATGCATACACATACATATCTATACATACGTACTTATGTACCTTGTTTGTAATGCCGGAGTGTTTTTTTGTTGATATTATAAATGTAATAGGTGTTGTACCATAGTTCACACAAAATTAAATATCTATAAATCATATAGTAATTATTCCTTTTAATGATAATTATTAATTAGAAATATATTTATTCTAATTTTATGATAACTAAAATTCATTGCTATGATAATAATTATTTAGTATCATGAAATTTTAATGAAATATCAATATAATAATAATTATAAAAATTGTTTGCATTATAATAATAATCAATATTTGTAATTATTGCATTAACAATCCGATAAAAATTGTTTATATTGGTAATTTATATTTTATGAAAAATAAATTAATTACTGTAATGATATTAATTATTAAGTATCATGAAATTTTAAAAAAATATTAACATAATAACAATTTTAAAAAGTGTGTAAATATTCTATTTACAATTAATGATATTATATATTTGCATTATAATAATAATCAATATATGTAATTATTGCAACAATCCAATAAAAATTGTTCTTATTGGTACTATTACCTATATGAACAATATAAACGT